CGCGGCACGGGGGCAGCGCCAGGCGGTGGGGGGGAGCCGCACACGGCGGGGACGCGCTGGGGGGGGGGTGGGAAGATGCGTGGGGGACCTGCGCCAGGCAGAGCCGGGGAAGAGACCCAGCTCCACATATCGGTGGAGCAAGGCTCCCAGCTCTGTAACTTGCCGGCCCTTCCAGGTGCAGGGGCACGGGGCCCGAATTGGCCTAAGGCCGGCTCTGCTGGCAGCCACCAAGCATGCTGAGCCCTGGTATTTTTTCCCCACAGCCCGGTACCAGGCCCATAATTTGAGAAACGCTGCACTAAGCCATATGCAAATGTGCACCACCACTAGAAACAGAAAACCTAGCTGTTTTCTACTAATCAGCTGGCCCACATTTCAATTTCTCCTGAGCGACCACACAGCTTACAGGGAACACTGCTCAGGGCCCAGCAATTCAAAAGGACCTGGGATCCCAGCCGCTGCTGGTACTCACAACTTGGGCACTTTTAAATCCCCACTGGAGCCCTGGACGGTGTGCTCTGGGCAGCACTGAAGGGCTGGTGAGGGGAGTCTAGGGACTTGGGTCCCTTCCGATCAAGGCCTTGCCCCTTCTGGGAATACAGAGCTGCCCCAACCACCTTGTCCTGGTCTGAATGTAAACATTCACTATGGTTTGTCAAGAACAAATCACATCAAACCAATCTTAGTTCCTTCTTTGGCAGGATAGTGGAAAGCAAGGAAGCACTCGATAGGATAGCCCTGATGCGAGTAAGGCTTTTGACACAGTCCCACATGACACTCATACAAAAACTAGGGAAACACTGTACAGATGAAATGACCATAAGATGGATTGCATAACGGGTTGCTAAACTGAACACAAAGGCTATAGCTACACGATAGTAGAAAGTCAATTTAAGCTACATAACTCCAGCTATGTGAGTAATGTAGCTAGAGTCAACTTATCTTAGGCTGAGTTACCACAAGGTCTACACTATGCAGGATGGACGAGAGAAACTCGCCTATCGACTTCCCTTACTCTTCTCATTCAGGGTAGATAGTGAGGTTGATAGGAGAGTGATCTGCAGTCTACCGGGCAGATCTTCACTAGACCTGCTAAATCAATTGCTGATGGATCGATCTCAGAGCATCGATCCGGGCTGTAGTATAGATGTAACCAAAGAATGGTTATCAATTGTTCGCTATTGAAGTGGGAGGGTATAGTAAGTGAGGCTCATAGGGGGCTGTTCAGGGTTGGTATTATTCTGTAGTTTTATTCAGTGACTTGGATGGAGTACTAAATTTGCAGATGAAGTCAGGTGGGGTGGGGTCACAAGCACTTTGGACGACAGGATTAGAATACAAAATGATCTTGCTAAATTGAAGAACTGGTCTGAAAGCAGTGAGACAGCATCAGCAAAGAAGTGTGAAGCACTACACTGAGGAAAACAAATCAAATGCACAAATACAAAATGACAAACACTTGGCTAGATAGCACTACTGCAGAACATGGCGGTGAGGTCCATCAATGGCTATTAGGATGGGTAGGAATGGTGTCCCTAGCCTCTGTTTCTCTGGAAGTAGGAGACAGGGGAGGGATCACGTGAGGATTACCTGTTGGGATCTCTCCTTCTGGGACATCTGGTATGGGCCACTGTCGGCAGACAAGACACTGGGCTAGATGGATCTTTGGTCTGACCCAGTGTGGCCGTTCTTCTGTAACAGCATCTTGTGGCTATTTGGGACCACAAATTGAATAGGATCCAACAATAGGACAGTTAAAAAAAAAGCCTAGTAGCATTATGGGGTATAAGAACAAGAGGGTCTCATGTAAGACATGGGAGGTCATTGTTCTACTCTACTCAGCACTAATGAGGTCTCAGTTCGAGTGCTGTGGCCAGTTCTGGGTGCTGCACTTAAGGAAAAAGGTGGCCAAACTGGGGAGGGCCCAGAGCAGAGCCACACAAATGACCAAAAGATTTAGAAACCCTGCCCTCTGAGGAAAGGTTTAAAGAACTAAAGGTGTTTAATCTAGAGAAGAGGAGTCTGAGGGGAGATATGAAAACAGTCTTCAGATATGGCTAGAGTTGTCACAGAGGGTGGTGACCAATTATGCTCCATGTCCCCCAGGATTGGACAAGAAGTCTTTATATGGCAGCAAGGGAAGTTTAGGTTGTTTGGGAGGGATATGCCGTGTTAGTCTATATCTGCAAAAACAACGAGGAGTCCCGTGGAACCAGAGAGACTAAGGCTAGCTAAGCACTAGACCAGGCGATGGAGGAAGGCTGTGAAGTCCCAGTCCCTGCTGGTTTCTGAACAGGGTGGACAAATACTGGCTGTTAGGGATTGTCTAGATGCCCCTGGTCCTGCCTTAGTGCGGGGGGAGGAGGGCAGGTGGACTGGATAATCTGAGTTCTTTTGAGCCCTACATTGCTATGCTCCTAAGGCTTTTGGCTCCTCCAGGGTAATTGCTTTGAGAGAGGAACGGGAAGGGCTGCAGGTTTGTGGAGAACCTGGGTGTCGAGACAAGAGATGAAACTCAGTGGAGTGGCACCAGCAGGGAGTTGGACCACAGTGGTTTGGTTTAACCTTTAGGACAGGACGGAAAAGGCAGCCATTTTAAGGGACTCTGAGGCATGCGGGAAACGACAAAGCCAGCAACCAGGAAGGCCTATTTGGGAGTGGATGTGGGGACAGTCTGACGCTGTAGAATTGGTTGGGAATCTGAGGTGGAGCAAGATTTCTACCCAAGCCCCAATTAATCCTGGCTCAACATTTGGGCCAGGAGCCAACCAGCTGGTGGAGGGAGTAAGCTGGGCATGTGTGTTTGTGGGTTTGACACTGTCAGAACAGACCTGCCTCAGAAAGCGGAGCGAGAGAGAGACACAGAGGTGCAGCAGCCTGTGATGGGCGCTTGTCTCCAGCTCTGGGATCGAGAGAGCAGGTCTGAGGCGGTTTAGATTATAACGACTCACCACGCAAGGCTCTTTCCTCCTGCCAATCGATGACCCAAGGCTCTTCCCCGCGTTCCATCCGGGCTAACATGTCAGGTTTGGGGCCCACACAGCCTGTTTGTGGGGATGTAGATCAGAGGAGGTCATGGTTTGGGATACCAACACGGGATGCTTGTTACAAAGCCATGTGAATGGTTTGACACCAGTTCCCTCCCTTTGCTAGTGGCACCAAGAATTAATGGATTTAAAGCATAGAAATCAACAGATTCCCCCTTCCATCATCCAGCTGCTCTTTAGAAATGCATGCACCAGACTTTACAGTATGATCCCAATTATGCCCGTCCTTTGCTTCTAAATTGATTTAAAAAAAATAATCAAACTTTCCGTTTACAGCCCATGCCTCCACTGTAAGTTTGAGGCCCATCCTCTGAATTATGGGCTTGCAAGAAGCTGTGGCAGCAGCTGGCATGGTGCCTGTAGCTTGAAACTGTTACACCTTTGTATGCCACCTTTAAGTTTCCAACACCTTTGTCTCTCTGCAGGGGAAGCAGCCATCTTGCTATCACACAATTGCTGCAGATGGTTATAGAGAAGAGGCACACACTTTGCTCAGAGACTTTTACTTTTCTTCTTTCTTGTTGCTGTTTTCCTTTCATCTCAACTACCCATAATTTTGGATTAAAGCAATATAGTTGCTTTGTGTGGACACGTGAGAGCTGGAAATAGAAAACAGGAACAAAGATGTTCAGGGTTTTTTTAAACCCTCTTTAGGGATTTATTGCAACATTTCCCAGCAATCTAGGAAACGCATGAGTGGATGTGGGCTGCACCCTGGTGTGTCTACACAGCAGGGCTTAACTCGAAATAAGCTACACAAATTGAGCTACATCAAGGCTACGTCTAGACTGCAAGCCTCTTTTGAAAGAAGCTTTTTCGAAAGACACAATCAGTATTTTCGAAAAAGCAAGCTGCTTTTTCGAAAGAGAGCACCCAGACAATCTGGATGCTCTCTTTCGAAAAAAAAGTTTGTTACATAGCGCCTTTTTTCGAAAGAGCACTTTCAAAAAAAGGCGTTATTCCTCGTGAAATGAGGAGTACCGCCATCGAAAGAAAAACCATGTTTTTTCGATTTAATTTTGAAAGAACACGGCTGTAGTCTAGACTCAGGTGAAGTTTTCGAAAAAAGGCTACTTTTTTCGAAAAACCCTGCAGTCTAGACACAGCCCACTTATGTATCTTACTTCGAAATAGCTTATTTCGAAATAGGGAGCATCTACACAGCACTTATTTCGAAATAGAGCACTCTTCCTCCGAGTTCCCGTATTCCTCATGGTATGAAGATACGGGGAGTCAGAATAAGAGGTCCTCCAGCTTGACACTATTTCGAAATAACTGCCTGCTGCATAGACACAGACTAAGTTATTTCAGAATAGCGCTAGTTATTTTGAAGTAGCGTTACAGTGTAGACATACCCTTAAAGTGAATGGATGAATTTTGCAAAGCTCAAAGGGTACATCTAGACTGCATTGCTATTTTGGGATACTGGAAGTATCCCGAAATAGCATCACTGCATCTTTAAACACTCCCACTATTTCCCAAAATAGCAGGTGCACTCTTCTGGCGTTCCTGTAACCCTTGGGTAAGGGATTTGTCAGAAGAGTGCTTCATTTTGAAATGGGCTGTCTACACAGCGCCAACTTTCAAAGTAAGCTCTTTTGACTTAGACTCGGAATAAGCTATGCAATTTGTGAAAGAAGGGTGCTGTCTAGACACAATCATACAGTATAAGAAAATGGACCCTTACCCAGGGAAATAAGATTGTCATAATGCTCCTTCATCACATTCCGGTAGAGCTTCTTCTGCCATTCTTCCAGCATCTCCCACTCCTCCTGGGAGAAATAAACAGCAATGTCCTCGAATGTCACCTGGAACCAGAATTGCAAGCATCATCAGCACCTTCTCTGCAGCCATCTCAAAGTAAGCACCAAAGTGGAAACAACACGTAGGCATCCTGGCTCCCAGACCACGGCTGTGACCACTACATTACAGCAGGCCATTATTCTGAGAGCTTGAGAAAGTGTAACCCTCACCCATGGAGAGGCACTCAGACTGCTTACAGAGAGAAGAAGGAGTGTGCTCTACAGACCTAGCGGAGAGCCAGCTGGCTTTTAGCTTTGAACCATATTGCTTTTACAATATGCTCTCTCTTCTCCCCAGTGAGACTGGAGCCCTGAAACGCTAGGCACGATCCAGACAATCCCTACACTAGGGATGTTAATCTCGTTTGATCAGTCATCGCTTAACCGATTAAGCAGGATCCTAGGGGCAGGTCCAGACTTGGGGGCAGGCCACAGGCACTGGAACTAAGGGTTCGGCAGGCTGCTGGCAGAACAGCCAGACTCCTGGGCAAGGGGGGTGTGTGGGGGGGGGGGGGGGGCAGGTCTGGGCCCACAGAAGGGCAGGAACTCAGGTGGAAGGGGTGGAGCAGAAGACTGACAGAGGATATACATGGCCATGGAGGACAGCTTCAGTTGCCCCTGTGGCCCAGCACTGCTGGCCTGGAGAAGGAGGCAGGGACCCACATGTGCTCCACCTGAAGGTGAGAGGGGGCATAGTTCTATCTGCCACCTGAGGCCCCCCCGCCCCCGCTCTCCATCCCCCAGCTGCTCCCCCAGCCAACAGCAGCACAACATTCCAGGGGCTGAAGGACTCAGAGGGGGGTGGAGGGTAATGCAGCCACAAGTAGCTTTTTTGCCACTTCAAAGTGCAGCTTTTTCCTGCCAGATGTGCAGCTTGCAGGGCAGGAGGGCAGCCAGGGGATGGAGAGCCCGCAATGCGCAGCCACAGCCAGACAACACAACGTGTTCTGTGTAAGCCCTCCCCATCCCGTGGCTGCTTTCCCACTTTCTTCCAGCCGGCTGTGCACCTGCCCCATGCCCCTCTGAAGCCTTCCGGCCTATATTTGTGCTGCTCACTGCCTCCTGCTGGCTCTGAGCCTACAGGTGAGCCTCTCTGCTCTTCTGCCCCCCACAGCCTTCTCTGGAGAGATACTGCCCCCCCATAGAGCAGCCACCCCCGGCACAGGAAAAGGGGGTGCTGGACTACCCGGCCATGGGGGGAGGTGCTGGACTGCCTGGCTGTGGGGGCCCCATGTTGTTGGGAGGAGCTGTGCCAGGGCACCGTATGTTTCGTTGCAAATCCACCTCAGGCCCTGACACCCAAAAACCAACTGGCCAATAACTTGTTCTGTGTAAGCAAAGGGCCCGGCTTTGCTCCCACTGTTGCCAATAGAGAGTTCCATTGTTTCAGTAGGAGCCCAGATTCTGGGGACTGAAACGAAGAAGATTCACTTAAACCGCCCCTTCCCCAGCCAACACTCTCCGAGCAAGGCCCTTGGCTGTGTCAACTTTCAGCCCTTCACGCCTGCTCCTTAGCAGACTATTTCCTATGGAAAGTGGCTGATGGGGACCAGTCAGGTTCTGACGGGTCCACTGTCACTTTCCGGCAGGATGCTCCGACAGACAGCTCCTTACAAGGAGATCCGTCAGGCAGCTGCGCGGAGAAAAATGGAATCTGTCTGTTAATAAATGAAGACTGGGTTAGGTGGGATTCAGTGGTCCACATTCAGACCCGGCTTGGCACAGGGTAACTGACAGATGAGGTGACACCCACTCAGAATACGGCCTGTTGTCTCATCCCCCCCAGCATATTTATTTCCTGTTTCCTACCTGCTGCATGGTCCCGGCGGGCTTTTCCTCTTCAGCTTCTCCTTCCTGCATGGTGTCGCTCCGATCCTCGCTGCTGCAATGGCCAGATAATTCTCCCTGGAGTCTGAGGCACTCGCCAGCGAGTGCTGGCTGCTGTAATCCTGCGTCTCAGGCAGAACCAGGCGTTGCTTCCGTCCCAGCCCTGCGACTGTAACCTGATAAGGGAAGTAGAGCAAGCCAGAAAGTGATCTTACTCCCAGAAGTCCACGGGGCAGATCTAGGATGTTTCAAAGACCGGAAAAGGCCCTTTATTACAACAGAAGAGCAATTGGCGTTCAGGCGTATATGACAGTGGCTCTCAGCTAGGGGTGCATGTACCTTTGGGGTATGCAGAGGTCTTCCCGGGGGTACCGCAACGCCTCTAGATATTTGCCTAGGTTTACAACGGGCTAGAATAAAATGCCCTCGTGAAGTCAGCACAAACTAACACGTCACACCGGCAATGACTTGTTTATACAGCTCTCTATACTAGTCACTGAAAAATAATATTTAATTGCCACTTGATTTTTTTTTGTAATTACATGGTAAAAAGGAGGACGGAAGCATTTTTTTCTGGTCACAGCATACAGCGAGCCTTCCGAGTTCCTCGGATTTTGTAAGCAGACGTTTTACATGAGGCGAAACATGGGAACACACGAGACACACCAGCCTTTTGAAAGTAGCGTGGAAGGGCTGCGAGCTGCTGGGGGTAGAAATCAGGTCCCTCTGCAGCCAGCGAGACAGGGCAAGGGGTTTGAGAGCTGCCAGGGGAGCAGGTCCAAAGATTCACACCTGGCTGCAGCCGTGCAGCCAACAGGGAGAGCTCACAGGGGAGGGGGAGCTGGAGCTGGGAATCGTGCAAGCAGATGACTCGTGTTAGAGACCAGGAAGGTGAGACAATATCTTTTACTGGGCCACCTTCTGCTGGGGAGAGAGACAAGCCTTCCTGACAGCATGAGCTCAGGTGACACAGTGTGAGCCCTGCATGCAGAAGAAGAGGGGGGAGAGGGTGTGTATGGGACAGTCATGAACAGTCTTTGCATTCAGCCCTGCAACACAGCCTGTGGCATACCCCTGTGCTTAGGAGCAATGGGCACATCCGCTGGAGCTTTGAAGAGTTAGGGCCCCCATTTCTCCCCCACCCTTTTAAAGAGGTATGACACCTGCTCCTCCTGGAGCGGTGGGCACAGCCTGGCCCTTAAAGTTACACTGAATTAGGAACTAGCCAGCATGGGCTGGTGACGAGCTCATACTCATCTCAGCAGTGTTTCTATGAGGCACACGGTCCCTTAGGAACACCACATCTTGGCATTTCCAAAAATCACAAGGATTGTTCTAGCCAGAACCCTGTTGTTTATGGGAAGAAGTCATACCTGAAAGGGGAAGTGGAAAACACATAAAACCCCTGCCAGCTCTTTGGCAAGGTCACAGTTACAAGGTACAGTAAACTTCTAATAATCCGGCACCTTTAGGATCCAGGGGGTGCCAGATTATCAAATATGCCGGACTATCAGAAGGGGGGGCTATGAGGGGGGTGGGGTGATGCTACCCCAGACCCCTCATAGCCTTCCCCCCTCCTGATAGTCTGGCTCTGCCCCAGGCGTCCCCGAGTTAGCTGCTGCTGGTCAGTTTCCTTTGTCGTCAGATCCTGTAAGCCTCATTTCAGCGGCTCTCAGTTTCAGCAGCAGCTGAATCGGGGAAGCCGGGCGCAGAGCAGCTCCAATTGTCCGGCTGCCGCAGCACTTCCAGGTTTCTGATGGTGCCGGACCATCAGGAGTGCCGGAGCACTGGATGCCAGATCAATGGAGTTTTACTGTACCTGTGCAATGGTCTCTAGATCAGACAACTAGCTGATGGTCTGTAGCCCGTTGTGGGGGCTCACAGAGGGGTTCCTCCCCCTCCAGATCAGTGGGCGACCCCTCCACCCACATCCACAGTGTCCCTGTGAGTCCTAGGCCCCAGGTCAACAGTCCATTCGGGCCAGCGCTTGGGTCCCAAGCCTTAACTCAGGTTGGAGCAGCAAGCAAATAAAACGTCTCTCACCCAGCTTCTGGGCAGGTTAGCCAGTAATTAAGCAATCTCTGGTCCAGCTTTGGGCCATTTGAAGGGGGGGGGGCATTAGCTGGGCAGCTGCCCAGGGCACCAACCTATGGGGGGCACCTGATGGCAGCTGTAAGGGGCACCATGTACCTGGCACCCCTTAGAGCTGCAATCAGGCACTGCATTCCCAATTGCAGCTGTAAGGTGCGCAGGCAGTAGGCAAGTCAGCAGTCTCTGGCCCAGCCTTGGCGCAGGGCAGGGCAGCAGGCAAAGCGACCAGATCTTCACAAGTAAGTACTAGCAACAGAGGAGGTCTCCTTGTTCTGGAGGAGGTCTGGCAGCTCTCCTGAAAGGAGACTGAGGGGGAGGCTGCCACCCCCTAGGTGGGTGGCAGGAGGGGCACAGGCCCACCCCAAGGCCCTAACCCCAGCAGGGCAAGCCACTGCTGGGCCAGTGGGGATCTGTACCATTGCACACTGGCCTCTAGCTGAGCTTCCCCTACATTGGGACCTGCTTTCCTCAGGCCACTCATCTCCCCCTCCATGGGTACCTGGGTCTCCAACAGGCCCACACCCAGTCACCAGCCTCTGGCAGGTGTAGGGGTCTGGGCCAATCTTCAGCTTCCAGCAAACACAGGGGCTCAGACCAGTCTTCAGCCTCCAGCTGGCACAGGTGCCCCTAGCTAGCATCTGTCTCCAGTGCTGGCTGGCTCCTCACTGCTCTCCTGGGCAGGCCTTTTATAGTCCTGGTCCTGCCTCCCGACTTCCTGTCAGGTGAGGGGGCGGGGCCAGGCTCACAGAGAGGTTCCTCCTACCCCACTGTCCCATTAACACCTGGGGGGTGAGGAGGTGGGAGAGTTGACTGAAGCTTTTCTTGTGGGTCAGTAGGGGTAGGGCTGCTCTTTATGTGGGCTCTGTGCACTGGGTGCAAGTGGAGGGCTGCTGGTGCCGGATGAGGTGGGCCAATGCCTTCTCCCACAGACTGCTGCACTATTGACTGCCCAAGCACAGAGGGTGTAAAGATACCTCATGGGAAACCATATCCCCCAATGCTCAGATTGTCTACGCTGCTGCATGGCTGGCCAGCAATTCCCTAAGTTCCGTGGGGCAGCCAAGTGCGCTGTCCCCCCTCAGGAAAGCCAGACTGCATTACATGTCTGGACCAAAGTTGCCTACATTGCTGTAAATTAGCACAGCCTCTGTGACTTCAGGGGAGGGTTTGGCCCTGTCATTTTACAGTCACCTCTGCTCTAGGCTGGATGTCAGTGCCTCAAATGCTGCAGAAATGCAAAATGTGATTACATGTTGCACCTCTATAAACTGGGCCTCTCTGGGGGACCACGGATGTTCCAGGATCAGAGTCCCAGTGTGCTGCAGTGGGGAGGAAAGCAGGGAGGGTAGGTGGCAGACTGGTGTGCTTGGGGGGAGCAGAGTGGCTCAGCGGGGCTGAGGAGGGGAGTGGCTGGCTGGAGAAGCTGGACTGGGCCATGGAGCAGGGCTCAGCGAGATGGAGTCAGGGGCAGGAAGCCCAGCACATGACCCAGCTGGGCTGGTGGGGGGCAGGGCAGGGAATGGGGCCAGCAGTAGTGGGGCCAGAAGTGACCTCCCTTGGTCCGACAAAATCCCTCACCAGAGCAGTCCAGCCTGTAGTTAGAGGGATTTTTGGGGTCTGTGATGACTGTCCCAAGAGCCCACACCTCATGCTGGCTGCTTGCAGAGACGGTGCAAGGAAAATGCCTGCGGGGGAGTCTGCCTGGCAGGTAGGATGTGCCTCTGGGCTCGCTGCCTCTTCCCCGGCGAGAGTGCAGCGTGGCAAACAGCCAGCCTGGCGCGGGGACTCCCCTCCCTGCCCTCTGCGCTGTGCATGAGCCCGGTGGCACTTCAGGGACTCACAGATGTCTTGGGGCAGCCGCTTTGGTGGGCCAGGATCCACGAGACTCCGGCTTGTTTTTGGTGGAGACAGGCGAACATGGCTCCCCTCCCACCCTCGCTCTGTGTGAGCTGCACACAGGCTCACGCTTCAGCCTGGCGCGGGGACTCCCCTCCCTGCCCTCTGCGCTGTGCATGAGCCCGGTGGCACTTCAGGGACTCACAGATGTCTTGGGGCAGCCGCTTTGGTGGGCCAGGATCCACGAGACTCCGGCTTGTTTTTGGTGGAGACAGGCGAACATGGCTCCCCTCCCACCCTCGCTCTGTGTGAGCTGCACACAGGCTCACGCTTGGAAAGCGTTATTCCTGAACATAACCCGCGTAGCGGCATTGCGCAAGAAGGGGCAGTGTGGACAGCTCCTTCTGGTGCAAGAGCCTCTTTTGCAAAAATGGCAGCTCATTAGGTATGCAAATGAGGCTCGGCGATAGTCCACGCTTAGCCTCATTTGCATATTTCTTGGGCAAGAAGCCGCGAGTGTAGCCATAGCCCTGGAGGGCCATCTCACCGCATGTATCTGCTCCCACCTGCCTGCAGCTGCCTCTGATAGAGAGGCCGCAGCGTTGGCGGGTTGGGGGGAAGTGGTTTGCCTGAGCCGATACACATGGGGAGCTGTTTTGAAAACCCACTTCCTGTGTGCACAGGCTCCTTCCTGTCCCCCTCGCCCTCCACGCTGCTGCCTCTCCATCAGAGGCAGCAGGTGCATGGGGGCAGGTGGCTCTGTGGATCCAGTGTTCATGGGGAGCTGGCTCCTGCCTCCCACCCTCTTTGCTGCCTCTGATACAGAGGGAGTCATTAAGATTAACCAATAAGCCCAGGCTTATTGGTTAATTGTGTATTCAACTATATGTTGACATCTCTAATTCTGCAATCCTCGCTCAGGCAAAACTCCCAGTGACTTCAGTGGGTTTTACCTGATCAAAGAGTGCAAGATCAGCCCCTGAACTGACTGGTAAAACCTTGGATGCTCAATGGGGAGACTGCCCCGTCAGGGAATTTTTATTTGGTTCTGCAGCCCTTCCCACCCCCACAGTGCCCCCACCAAATTCTCACAATCCCCACAGCCGTTTTACAATGGCTCTGTAGGCTCTGGTTAGTCAACAAGCCTGAATGCGATTGGCTGAATAATTTTGACGCAGTGTCCGATTGGCCAAATGCTAAACATCTGGTGTTGGTGAGGAACTGGCTTCAGGAATCACTGGGTCATTTTATAAATTTCTTACTCCGACTCCTGCAAACCTCATTGTACGAGGAATAAGGGAAGTCGGAGGAAGAGCGCTCTATTTTGAAATAAGTGCTGTGTAGATGCTCCCTATTTCGAAGTAAGATATGCAATTGACGTAGCTCGGTGTGACGGCGCGTTGGGGGTCCCCCGTCTCCTGCACCCCGAAATGGCACAAACAGACTGCACCAGCCGGTGGAATAGAGGAAGGTTATTGCCTCTCCAGGATGCAGCACAGCACAGATGCTCCAGCCCCTCTCCCTAGGCTGTCTCCTCCATGCTCCCAGACAGCAACTAACTAACCCTCTTCCAGCCCTGCCCCCCAGCTGGGGCAGCATTCCACCTTCCTTTGTTCCTCTCCATGGGGGGTGTCTGGCCATACTCGTTTGCATAGTGACTCATCCTGTTTTGCTGGGTCGTGGTACCCACGGCAGCCAGTGGGGCCACCCCAGAGCCAGCAGCATAGAAACCAGCCAGGTACCCCCACTACGTCACACTCGGTTTGCGTAGCTTATTTTGAGTTAAGCCATGCAGTGGAGGGCTTGGTGTGTTAAGTGAGAGACCCCTGGAGAGAAAAAGGACACTTTTCCTGCTAGGAGAGAACCAAACCCATATTTTTTTCCTCCTCTCAATCATGCAAAAAGACAAAACCTAAAGGTCCATCATTTTTCTTAGGTTCTGCTGTGGAAATCCATGTGAATGTGCTACTGAATAATAACTTCCTGTGATTTCAGGTCCCCGTGTCAGTTGCTGATTTCTCAGTCAGATTCACCCGGGAGGAGTGGGAGATCTTGGAGGAATGGCAGAAAGAGCTGTACTGGGATGTGATGAAAGAGAACTATGAGACATTGATATGGCTCGGTAAGTGACTGTACATTAATGGGGAGCTGTCATTTCTGAGTAGCTTTGAGAGTTTGTTCCACTCAGCAATGCTTCCTTCAGTTTCCAGGGCTGCCTTTTACTAGAGGATTAAAAGGAGGGGGTTAGGACTCAGGAGATCTTGGTCCTAGTCCTGGCTCTGCCACTGGCTTGCTGTGTGACCATGGGCAATTCACTTCACCGCCCTGTGCTTCAGTTTCCCTGTTTGTAAAATGCAAAGCACTTCTCAAAGAAGGTCAGCATCATTACTCCAATGAGACCGACCTCCCTTGTGGCAGCACTTTGAAATCTACGGTGTAAAGCAGCTTACGAGTTAGGTCTTGTTGTTTATCCACAAACCAGGGGAGCAGCACCATTGCCTGCTTCTCACATTCTGTACCAATGTTGTCCCATCTTTCCAGTGTGAAAACATCCTGGACAAGAGGGAATTTGTGGTCTCTGCTCTAGCCACTGATGTCTTGAAGATCTTTTGTTTTGCATTAATGAGGGGCTGCCTCGTCTAATTTATCTTTAAACGTTACCCTCTTACCAGACAGACTTCTCTCTTGTTAACGCAGACACTTTTGTAGTCCGTTTTCATAAATCAGTGTCTACAATTGATACATTAGCATTGGCCACTGATTCCCAGAAATAACTTCCCGTCGAGTGAGCTCAGCTCTTTCCACCAGCCTTATTGCTGGCCCAGTAGGCTTAACTTACTGTCTGAAAAATCAGGCGGTGTTTTTGTTGCTAGCAGTAAGGATCTTGGAAAGGGATTTAACTGATTATTTTGTTGGGAATAACAAAGCTTTTCTTGCCCGTATGTACAATCTGTTAGCTCTTCGAGGTGACAACAATAAAACAGCGTGGAATTCATTGCCACTAGACGTCGTTAAGGCCGAACACTTGACCGGTTTCCAAAAAGGATTGGATAATGAGAGAGTCTGTTGTTACGGCGATAAAGATTTAAAAAGTAGTTTGGAAGGAACAGAAACCCTCATGCTTCCAGGCATTAGCCAGCCTTTAATTGAGGGAGGAATGGTAGGATTTTTTTCTCCCTGTGGACGGGTTATTCCAGAGATGCCTAGTGTAGGGCGTGTCTTACCTTGCATTGGGCCTGGTGTGGAATGTGCTTTGTAAAGGGCTTCATGCACCTCAGATGAGCCCCCTTGTGGGAATTAGCTTTCACCCTATCTGGTGCCTCTGTTGCCAGCTGCTGTCCTGCGGTCCCTCCCTCTTTCCATGACTCAAAGTGCTGCTTATTTGTAATGTGGCCTTCCGGCTGCCTCGCTATACAGTCCCGCTTTGCTGGGGACCAAGGTCCCATGGGACGAGCTCTCCAGATGCTGCCTCAAATGGTTCCATCTCTAGGTTCCATCTCTGTTCCACCTCTAGGTCCTGTGTCACTTCCCAGTGGTTGTGGGACAGCCCAGGCTCTCTTAACTCTAGGGACCCTCTGATTAGAAGTCCACGTCTTCTCAGTCCCAGTCAGTGTTTGCCTGGGCTCCTTCCTACCCCACTTTTGTCGCCTGGCCTATCTCTGGGTTTACCGTTGGAGCTTCCTCTGTTCCTCAAGGCAACTTCACCCCTCTCAGCCTCATGCCAGGCTCCTAGTCCAGAGCAGGAAAACCGACATGGAGACTAAGTGAGCTTCTGAAAGCCACAGAGGGAGTCTGGGTCCGAGCCAGGATTAGCAGTCCAGAGGGCCTGTGTCCTGGCCTACTAGTAGTCAGTCCTCCCGTGGGAAGCAATGAAAAGCTGGCGTCCGTATGAAAGGTTTGCTGTGCAGCCCTTAGCAGAATGATATGACAACCGGGGGCCGGCTCTGTCTGTGTCTGTTTGTAACATGCAGGTTGTGAGACACCAGAACTTGCCTTCCTGTTGCTGCCTGAGGAAGAAGGAAAGCCCTGTGTGGAGAGTGCCTCAGCCAGGGACACCATGGCCCCCGTGTCTGTGGGTGAGTATGCGAAATGACAGTGGGAGAAAAGAAATGCCCCGTAGCGAAGGCGAGCTGGCTGAAACGTTTCAGGCCCGAAGGTTCTGTTGCAGAAAAGGGGCCTTGTTTTGAAAGATAGCTGAGTCCAAAGCAGACTGTGAAGGGCGTCAGAAGGATCTCACAAAACAGGTGGGTGGGCAGCAACCTGGCAGATGAAATTCATGCAAAGTAATACATGTTGGAAAACATAATCCCAACTATATGTCTATAACGAGGGGGGCTACATTAGCTGTTACCACTCAAAATTGAAATCTTGGAGTCGTTGTGGATAGTTCTCGGAAAACATTCATTGGGTGTGCAGCGGCAGTCAAAAAAGCAAACAGAATGTTGTGAATCATTAGGGAAGGGATAGAGAATAAGACAGAGAATATCTTATTGCCGCTGTATAAATTCATGGTATGCCCATGTCTCAAATACTGCATGGAAGATGTGGTCGCCTCAGCTCCAAAAAGATATCTTGGCATTGGAAAATGTCAAAAAGGGCAACAAAAATGATTAGGGGTATGGAACAGCTGCCGTATGAGGAGAAATTAATAAGACTGGGACTTCTCAGCTTGGAAAGAAAACTAAGGGGGGATATAATAGAGGTCTATAAAATCATGACAGATATGGAAAAAGTGAATAAATTATTTCTGCCTTCCCATAACACAAGAATAAGGGGTCACCAAATGAAATGAATAGGTAGCAGGTTTAAAACAAACAAAAGGAAGTATTTCTTTACACAGTGCACAGTCAACCTGTGGAACTCCTTGCCAGAGGAAGTTGGGAAGGCCAAGACTATAACCGGGTTCAGAAAAGAACTAGGTAAATTCATGGCGGATAGGTCCATCAATGGCTATTAGCTGGGATGGGCAGGGATGGTGTCCCTCACCTCTGTTTGTCAGAAGCTGAGAATGGGTGACAAGGGATAGATCACTTGATGACTTCCTGTTCTGTTTATCCCTTCTGGGGCCCTGACATTGGCCACTGTCGGCAGATAGGATATCGGGCTAGGTGGACCTTTGATCTGACCTAGTGCGGCTGTTCTTATATTCTTAAGTGAAAAATCTTGAAGTGATGTTAAAAAAATTACTGACGTTGTTATTGTCAGGGCTCGACAAACCGCGGCGAGATCTACTTGCCAGGCCTGCACCGCGCATGCACCAGACCAGCACTGAGCATGTGTGCAGCGCCAGTGAACAGGGCGACCAGCTGAAATCTACTTGCCATGGGCGAGTAGAAACAGCAATTTGTCGAGCCCTGGTTATTGTGCTCCAGGCTAGAAAAAAATCAGAAAATGATGTTTTGCTAAAAAATTAGATTAATTTTGGGGAAAACCCCCCCACAAAACACAGGACAGGTTTAAATCCTATGAAATGGAAACAGTCTAGATATTTGTAGCAAAACTTTTTAACCAGCTCTAGTTTTAAGCCAGAAACCTGCTTCATCTTCACAGGCAGCTTCATGTGGTTCTGTCAGCGAAACGACCATGTCCTGCAAGGGAGTGGTATATTATGGTACAGTAGTTGTAGTTAGTGACCTCATGCATACGATGTAGTTGTGTGTCTGCGGGGTAAGGATCCATCTTCTTTTAGATTCATGGATTCTGAGGCTAGAAGCGACTGTTGTGATCATCTACTCTGCCCTCCTGTGTAACACGGGCAAGAGACCTGCCCCCTTATAATTCCTTTTACAAACAACATCCCATCCTGATTTAAAAACTTAGTGATGAAGAATCCGCCATGATGCTTGGTAAATCGTTCCAGTGGTTAATTACTCTTGCTAGCTCCCTGTTTTACATATGGGCCCCTTAGGAGTTCGGGGCGTGTCTGCGTTTCAGATGAATATGAGAAGGCACTTCTAGGAGAATTAAATCTAGTCAGGAAACACAGGGGAAGCTGTGCTCTTCTGGGTGTCTAACGAGAGGTGCGTTGTTTCCTTCCAGTTGCCGAATGCCTGGGTGCCAGTGGGAAAGTGGAACCGGAGGCCAATGAAGTGGAAATCCAATGAAGTGGCTGAGCATGTCCCTTTGTCTGCAGGAGTTCGGGGCGTGTCTGCGTTTCAGATGAATATGAGAAGGCACTTCTAGGAGAATTAAATCTAGTCAGGAAACACAGGGGAAGCTGTGCTCTTCTGGGTGTCTAACGAGAGGTGCGTTGTTTCCTTCCAGTTGCCGAATGCCTGGGTGCCAGTGGGAAAGTGGACCCGGAGGCCAATGAAGTGGAAATCCAAATGGCTGAGCATGTCCCTTTGTCTGTGGTGCAAAGCCCCGTCTCTGAGAGCAACACTTCACGTTTGCGCGATGGGCTGCGCACGGCCTCCCATGCTGCTGTCCGCACCGTCGATGGCAAAACGGGCATGGTCCTCGCAGAATGCAGAACAGAGCCCTTCAGGGAGACGGACGCTCGACTCAGGCGACCCTCGTGGGGCAGCAGCAATTTGCGGTGGCAGCATGAGGCAGACGGCGCAGCCCCCAGGGATGCGTGGTTCCTGGTGAAGGAAGAGATTGAAGAAGACGGCTATGGAATGGGTTCCAGTGCTCAGCAGTACCCGCACGCCCCCGGAGGAAAGGTAGAGGCTCCTCCATGCTCCGAGCACAACGAAAGCTACAGCCCATGTCTGGGCAAAGCCAGCAGCCAGGGGACTCGCGTGGGAGTGGATCTGTCCAGGGGTGGCGAAGACCAGAACGTTCTCATCTGCAAGACGGAGATAATGGAGCCTCTCGAGGCGCAAGTAGCGCTCAGCAGTACCCGCACGCCCCCGGAGGAAAGGTAGAGGCTCCTCCATGCTCCGAGCACAACGAAAGCTACAGCCCATGTCTGGGCAAAGCCAGCAGCCAGGGGACTCGCGTGGGAGTGGATCTGTCCAGGGGTGGCGAAGACCAGAACGTTCTCATCTGCAAGACGGAGATAATGGAGCCTCTCGAGGCGCAAGTAGCGGAGGAGCCTTATCCAGTGGAGCCCCCGGCCTGCGAGCAGCAGGAAGCGCGTCGCTTCTGGTGTGCCACCTGCGACAGGGACTTCCTGCACCGGACGGACCTGGTGAGGCACGGCCGGGTGCACGGCGGCGAGCGGCCGTTCCGCCGCGACCGCTGCAGCAAAGGCTTCCCGGGGCGCTCGCACCTCCACCCGGACC